AGTGGTTTGAGCATCAAAACAAATGAATTGACATGGACGGGTAGATTAAAACTACCAGCAATGATGGGTGAACCATCGACAATTGAGGAATTTCATTCTACAACAACTACTGTAATATATATATATATATTATATAATATATATATATAATATATGAAGATATTAAGCATCAAAACCAGGAGTGTCGAGAATTTGCCACTTGGGTGGAGGCATGTTTTATGGCCCGAAAGTCTCCAAATCCGCAAGGGATATACCTCTGATTGGTGGTTTCAACAATTTCAATCCCCCTGAAAAATGATGGAGTTCGTCAGATTGATTAAATCATCCCAACTATTGGGGAAACTAATCCATTCATGTTCCAGTTCGCACCAAACAGAATATGATATACCTTGATAATCCTTGATATACAATTGGAAATCACATACCAAGGATAATCAACCTTGATATACCAAGGAAATCACATACCAAGGATTGTTATATACCTTCGCACCAACCAGTATTGCTTGGAAATCCACATGTTTAATTGGAGAATCGATCGCTTCAAATGGTCGTTGCTCGGCCTCAGGAGACCGGTGGAGAACTGGAACAGAACTTGGCTCCGCAACAAGCGTTTTATACCACGACGAAAAGTGGAGGATCATAAACATCCCATTGATATAGGGCTAGACAGTTGTGATCCATAAACATACCATAGACAACTGTAAGTGAGTTTAGCAACTATCCATTTCAATTTGTTAGACATACTGTGGATGGTTGTGAAATCCGAACCACCAGTTGATAGATGCTAAACATCCCATTATTTTAATTTGGTTTCAACCATCTAAGGTGGTGCAGGATTTCGCAACCATCCACCGTAACTCACTTACACTCACCTCCATGGAGGCTCTGGGCTCTGATAACCGTCAGTGCCAAGCACCAACTGGGCAGCAGCACTCTTGCGCTGGCCCACAGGATGTTGCAAATATGAGACCTGGCAAGTGATAAACGGCCAGCTGTTTATCTCAATCTATAAAGGAGATACTGTATGATACTGTGCTAAAACATTCGACTGGGGGTGGTTGAGAAGCTATTGGAATTGAAGGCACCCTGTGTTTCGACAAAGTCATATATACCGGACACGTCATGGTCCTATCCAAAGGATCCTGTTCCTGCTACAATGGTGCGTAGTACATTGATCCCTGGGATGTGTCGGTTACCACTGTGTCAGTGATATTGTGACTAAACATCTGATGCATAACATCGGAAACTGCGCAACTGTTAACTGTGGTCTTTTTTCAGGCCGTATACTAACCACTACAAACCACAAAAGAAAGAGGGCTTATTAACCATTTATCTCATTGGTGGTCACCCTGTGATCCCTGTGGGTTGGTGAAAAATCCTCATATCAATCCTGAAGGGTTTCCAGTAGATGGCCTGGCTGTGAACCCCCCATGGCCACTAAAAACGGCTGCCAAGGTACACGTCCATTCCAGGCACACATGTGACGGCCTGAACCAGGCTGGAAGAAGGTGACGAAAAGAACGTCTGAGAAGTAGACCGTCCATTGTGCTAGTGTATCTTCACACAAATGGCATATCTCTTGCAGAAATCTATGATTCTACGGGTATAGAGTACGCGGATGATCTGGGATAGGGGTTCATGATGACTAACATGGTTTATAACTCTAGCAAGGCTTGACGGTAGAGAATGGGGGGGTACCAAGGACTTTCTCTGATGGTAAATACGACCCTCGGCTTCACCCCCCCAAAAAACAATGAACATAGATAACAAGAACATACAACTAAACTATACTAAACTATACTAAACTATACTAATGATTACTTAATATATGTTGATCATATTTGATCTAGCCTCTGGTTATTTAACATAGCCATGGAAAATGGCCCATTGATATATGACTTTCCCATTAAAAAAAATATAAGGGATGTTCCATGGCTATGTTAAATAACCAGAGGGTAACTATTTTGATCTGTATTCAGGGATATTTAGGGTAGCATCCCACAGGGCCTGATCGGAAGCCGCTTGAAAGACGGAGTCGGCTGGATATCCACTTACCTCAGACAGGGCCGTCAAACGATAGCTGATAGCTAACTTGGTTTACAACTACAATCACTAACTAACTTATAGGTTTGTAGTGGATATCTATAGTTGGATGGTGTTAAAACCCAACAAAGATATAGTTAGATGGGTTCGTTTTGATATATTTTGATATTCAGCGTGAAGAATATGAACGAGTTTATCATTCAGTTGGTGACTGGGGCAACTCCCAAAAAGATGACCACCTCCATTCCCATGGGCGATGCGACGATGGCCCTACTTACTTTCATAGGGACCAGCCACTTTCATTAAGGAGTGGATGAATGTAAACATCAATGGGGACAACACATTAGTGTAATAAGAGAACATTAATGTAAACGTCATTTCAACATCCTTCGGAATCAAAAGCACAACTAATGAAGGAAGAAATGGAGATTCACTCAGCCCAAGTATGCTGGAATTCGATGTGGTGAATCATAGCCTCGAAAATCAGAGCCGACTGGTCCCTCAAGATCACTTCAAGAATGCTGGGAATCATGATCCCGGGGGAATGAAGGTTAATTCTCACTGTGAACCATCCAAGAGCCAAGAGCGTCACTGCATCAATGTGACTATGGCTCAAAATCACCGAACTGAATTGCCTACCATACCCCAATTTCCCAAGGTTCCATTCTGTCTGCATTTCACCCCGCTCAATTTGAGATCTTTGCTGACTTTTCTCCCCAGTTATGGCCATGGCTACTAGTGAACTAACTGGTTATTTCTATGGGATGATTCAACAAATTGGCTTTTCTTAGTACGTAAATTATAACTGGTATTTTGGGCCATAGGTGGTGCCCCCCAAACGTTATGTTTATTGGTTGAAATAACCCCATGAAAACTAGTTCGATATATCACCTATAAACCAGAATTATTGGAGTTATAAACCAAGTTCTGCATGTTTTTTTTCGACCACCCGAGGGTCCACCGAAATCGCTGTCTCGAGACCGCCAGGGCCCACAGGGTGATGGGCAACTCCTGATTCGACGCCCACGGTGGGCCCCCCAGTCGAGCGAAGGCGAAAACGAAACGCCTAACATTTCAGTGGCTGAATTCTATGGTAAAAATGGTAGATATAACTTGATATAACTAATTATAGTTAATAAATGTTAATAGATTAATAGGGGTTATTTCATGGTTATTTCAAGCAACTTATTTCATGGGGGGACCCCATCCTGGGCCTGGTCGACCGGGATGATCCGAAACACCGATTTCTGGGGAGGTCTGGGACCTGGTAATTTTTGGTCAAAAACACGGCAGGACGATGATAGTTCATCGACACAATGATTACGTATGCATGATAGTACAGTATGATACTATAACCAATGATGATAGAATGACGTTTGTTCTATCATTGGTCAGATTCTATTTTCATCTTTGGAGAAAACCGAGTATTTGCAAGCCTCTTACGACTTTTTTTGGTGAAGAAACAACCGCAAAGTCATAGGCCGTAAACCCAGTCACCAAAGTGGATGTCGAATAAACATGTTCGATGATTCTCCAGGAAACATTGCAAAATTATATGCTTTGACACTTCAAACCTGATACTGTATAATCTGACAACCCACAAAGACACATAATGATCATGATGTCATGATGTCTTGGTGACAAACGCATATGCAGCTCTGGGTATGGGTCTGGGCATGGGAATGGACAATTCTCCATTCACAGATTGTGTTCTCATTCAAAAGTCATTCTTTGAGGGGATTTCTCAGGCTGCCATGTTTGATTACGGCAAATTATAACCGCAAAATACTGGCTTGAACATTTTGAGGACCAGCCCAACAGGTCCTGAGAACCCAATTCAGAAATGCGAGAAGTGCCTTGGCAAGTGTTTCGGAAACGTCGTGTCATTCCTAGTTGTGTGCAGTGTGCAGTGTGCAGTACATCACTGTCCATTTGGATTTTAAGTTTCAGAAACCTGTGTACATAGAAATGCAGTAATTGACACTAGTTGAAACATAACCCCTTTTGAGAATGACTCAGACGTAACATTGACCTTCCATTTTGCACGTCCGTTTTTGCACTGTTTCACATCACATCAACATTGTCCAATTTATCCCTCAATGTCCCATGATCATCCCCTTTTGGCAAAGGAAAACCATCACCTGCACCGAAAAAATGAACCTCGGCGCCGCTTGAGCTAGGCACATTCGGAGATCAGAGCATCAAACAGAGGCAGATCGCGATGTTGAGCAGTCGCATAGGCCTTGGGGGTCTTTTCAATTGGTCCCCAGACGCTCATGTGGCAGATGGGTGGAAGCCGTTGAAGTGCATTGTCAATCTAAGTCGTTTTGCTCATAATGACACATAATCGAAAGAGATCTTGAAGTTCATGACTCAGGACATTTATGAAATTGGTGGAATTTTTCTTTTGCTTTGGACCATAATCTGAAACAAGGACGTTATATAATAATTACTGGTTGGTGGTTTCAACCCCTCTGAGAAATATGATAGTCAGTTAGGCTTATTATTCCCAATATATCCAATATATGGAAAAATAAAAAATGTTCCAATCCACCAATCAGTAATTAGTTTTTCTCCAAACCTGACGAGGCAATGTCTACGCAAATCCAGGCCTCACGCTGTTCTTCTGCGCTCTCCCACATGTCCACACTCAAACCGGGCTGCATAGGCTGCACCGGAGAAAAGATTGGACAAAGGAAAACCAGGAGAGATCGCAATAAATGTAGCAAACACTGGGGCAAGTGCCTAGGCCTAGGCATTCCCGGAGGCTTTCAATACTATATAATTACATTTCATAATATTGAATGAAGATGGTTTAACACATTGACGCTAAAACAAAAAGCACACATGATATGATGTTTGATTTTTTCTTAAATGACCCTATTGCTTTTCAAGGCCCTTACCTCCTGTCTCCGCACTTCTCCCATTCCTCGACTGTAAAAGCTGGCCGCAGTGTCTCAATCTCCCCGGGTGTCTGTGACACCATCAGCACTTGTCTCGCAATGGTTGTGACCAGCATCAGCATCCTCATGGATATCACCATCATCACCATCATTGGCAACATCATGGTCATCATCATCACCATCATCGAAGTCATCATCATGGTAATCACTCATTTCTTTGGTGCCATTGGCCGTAGAAATCCTCCCTGCGGACGCCGAGTCGGAGGCTTCCAACGACTCAGAAGTTACGTCGGAGTCGGATAATTTGGGTGACCTGAAGCAGGGATCCACTGTGCGCCGGTGTTCTAACCAACAAACATGATGATTTAACTTTATGATAGTCTATGCAACAACACTCATGTTTCATGATATGATCTTTTGAATGGCAGTGCCACAAATGTGTGTATATATATATACATAAATAAATATGTAATATATTATATATAGATATGAGATGATATGAGTTGTTTTTCTTGACTACAACAAGTAGGGCTTTTGGTGGATGTATAATAATTCAGCTAAAGTTGGAAGGGTTTTAAACACCCAACTATAAATGAGGGACACAACTTTCTAGTTAATTGCTGAGTGTGCACTGCAGCCATGAAATGGTTAATAAAGCTGATGAGCAGTGTCCGGCCTGGATGTTAATTATATAGATGTAATACCATCTGGTTATGACTAACATAGCCATGGAACATCACCATTTTTAAGAACGGTTAAGCATCTATTTCTATGGGCCATCTATACCATGGCTATGTTAAATAACCAGATGGTATAATCAATTGGGAAGCGTGATGCATCTCTGTTCAGTGCGATGCTGGAATCCAGCGCGGACATGAACTCAAGCTGGACAATGGACTGCAGGCTTGTCCGTCTATGTTTTGGTCACTGCTCCACCGGATGCGATTTTGTTTCACCATGTTTGATCCCTTCTAATCGTTGGTTGATGGGGTTCCCAATTGATGATCAATAGTTGCAATAATCCCAGTATGTAACTATTATAGATTATTGCAACTATTGGTAATATAACCATTATATCTATTTGATCCCATTATCAGTTGATTATTATAGATAATGTAAATCAATATCTTCAATGAGGTTGCTTTGTTTGAATCTGCTGACTTTGCATTGAAGGGGTTGCTACAAGAAATGACCAAATTCGATGCTTGGGTTGAGGTCAAATTGTGCGGAATTGGGAATCAGTGGAAACTTTTAACGTCGCCACTGCTATCAACGTCAACAAAACACGTCTAAATCTGTTGGTAATTCCAAGTGTGTAATGAAAAACTCCGCGTAGACCCTAAAAAGATCCCCCACCAAAGGGCCTGTTATGTTCTCTTTTTGATTCTTAACAAGTTTGTAACAAGTCAATGGGACGTTCCAATAGAGAAATAGAAACTGAACATGACATGATGAATCTTAGATACCTGATGATACCTGCCAAAACATACCAAAACATGTACATTTGACCATTGATAGCAACATATTAAAATACTGGTTCGTATCTATATAAACATGGTTGACCCATATGACAGAAGAAACTTGTCTCACTGTTAACGAGGTGAGTACAAGTGACTCATTCTTCTCAGAGTCCGATCTTTTGTGCAGCTTCGAAATCTGCGGTATCACATTGCGCAGGCCTGGCGCAGGAAGGGTCCGCTAACAATAGGTAGATTGGCTTGTAACTAGTGTAACTTTGTAACACGTGTTTTTCGTGGATATGTGAAGGTTTCCTAAAATGGGGGTACCCCCAAATCCTCAATTAGACAATTTAGTATATATTTCCCATGGTTGTGGGGTACCCCTATTTTAGGACACCTCAATATCTACAGTTGGATCGGTGCATCTCTGGTCGCACTCGAGATGATCACTACCCTATATATACAAAAAGCTATGGACATTCATCGGTTTCCCGTTCGGAAATGATCTAGAATCTATACACACGTGGTATTTTTTCTATCTATTTTGTACATAGCTTTTGGCTTATTGGAGGGTAGTTCTCAGCTCGGTCCCGTTGATGTTTGTTCTCACCCTTTTCTGGCCATGTCCATATGGTCCTTTCAGCTGACGAAGTGCCTGGAAGAACATGTCGCACCGCAGGAATCGCTGGGGGTGGAGTAGCCACTTTGATCGTCCTAAAGTGCCCAGCTGTGCTGTCCAAAGGCGGTGGTAGAACCTACAGTTGAAACCCTTTACCAGTTATAAATGTCATAAATGGGGTTCTCATTCCATAGGCGGGGTTACAACTGACTTATAACTGGTGAAGGGCCATTACTCATGACTGTATACAACAGAAGTTCAAACCAAGGCTAGTTGTTTCAACATCCATGAAATCATCTTAACAGTAATTTTGGTATCATCATTCCGGGTAGCTATGAAAAGTTAAAATCATCTCCAGACCTACCAGGCAAACATGGTTTGGATGGGCATGATCTGCCCCAGCCATGGGCTAGAACTTGCCCAAGAATGGATGCAACAACCCTGCAGGGATACATATATATATATACATAATTGAACATGAAAGCGCAACATGTTACTGACTATACCGAAGGGAAAACTGATTGTCAATGCCATTGTTTTGGGGTTCCACAAGTGATAATAACAAAGCTGTGTCCAGAAAACCCAAAGAAATTGGCAAGACTCCTGCTTGGTCGTGGCAACTGTCAAACCCATACCGCCCTCAGCCCTGCATACAGTGATCATCATTGCAGGAATCCTGTCATCCAATGGCACATCTTATTGGCATTCCAGAGATGCTGCATCCAAGATTCCCTCGCATGATTGGCGGAGATCCTTTCTCCTTGCGGAGAAAGACCTGCCAAGATGGGCATTCCCACGGCTAACTAAGTGATCATTGCAGAAATGATCAGCCCAGCAACTCTTGAAACTGATGGAAATCATGTTGGCAAAAAGCAAGGACATGTAAAACCGCGAAAGAAATGGTGCAATATTGATCAATATGGCACAACTGGATCTAGCGTAGCCCATCATAGGAAGGAACTATGAAATTTATACACAAACACATTGATTAATATCTCAGGCAAACCTCCCAAATGATCAGCTTCGGATGTGTTTGAATTTAACCTATCTAAGCATTGAATGTACTCTACGCAATGGGCATCACCTACTCATCAGTACAGGACCCTGCAATCTAATGCTTCACACTGTATTCGCTTTCCCTCAATTGAATACTTTGGGGCCCGAAGTTGAACGGATTGAATACTAAAAGGGGTTTCTGGGTGGTATGTGATATTAGAAGGAAGGGATTAATTATATAACTTGGCCAAAATAGCAGGTCTATATGTGACCACAGCTCAACGAGAATCTCAACATGATTGCCTTCAAAAGTTGACTGATTCAATACTGTAAATGACTAATCTTAGATAATCTTGGAGTCCTTTCCTATCGCATTTGGCATTTGATGGCTAATCTTGGATATCCACCAACAAACCAACAAAAAAAAAATCTGGGCTGGACACGAAGCATTTCCTCGCTAACAAACATATTTCTACAAGACCATGTCTTTGTGTATGAAACAAAACCGTGCATTGCCAAACAGATCAATCTAGGCAAACTATGTTCAAAAACTCCCAAAGTGGAAACTTACCAAGAATCATGGCCAATATTAGATAAAGTACCGTGCATTTTTGTTTGGCTGGTTGGTACATGTCTAGCGGAGCAAATCAGTACAGTTGGTTTCCCTTACTTTTTGCAAGGTTTTTTTCCCATTCTATTTGTTGCTTTCCTGTGGAAAATCACCATTCTCATATAGGTACACCATCTATAAATGGGACCTCTTCATCTGTTTCATACGTAAAATTACCGAAACCTTCGAGGTCAACCGTGAAGAAATTTGGTTTCTCGTCGTGTCGTTGACGGTACTCAGAGCCTACCCTCTGGTTATGACTAACAGTTCGCCATGGTATAGATGGCCCATAGAAATAGATGGTTTAGCTATTAAAACTGGTGATTTTCCATGGCTATGTTTAATAAACGGATGGTATATAGGGTATATATAGTATGTCTGATGGTATAGATGGCCCATAGAAATAGATGGTTTACCGTTCTTAATAGCATGGTGGATCTTTCCATGGCGAACTGTGAATGTTAACCAGAGGCTATCCGCCCCATCGACATCGATGGAACTCACCTGGATTTGTCCTGGTGTCTTGCTGGATGGTTTGATCTCCAGCAACACAGGAGTCCTGGCGGAGCGCCGCTTTTTCCGTGGAGGAATGGATGCATATCACCGGGAAGTATCAAATTTATGTTGTTTTTTTCATATGGGATACATGCATGCTATCTAAATATCATTGATGTAATTGATGTATATCATTTATGTATACAAATATAAGTACGAAAATGGGTGCATCCACAAAATACGTAGTCTTTTGAATCCAGAAGACCCAACTATCTCATGTCATGAAAATGCCATTCAAATGTATTGACCATGACAATGCAGTTTGTGAACATAGATTAAATAAAGGGTGATACTGATGGATGTTGATCATTGCACCCAAATGGGTCCAAACTCTGAAAAAAAACACGGCTCATTAATAAGCTGAGCCAGGTGACATGCCCGGTGTGGGACTCAAATAGAAGAACTTTGCTTCCAACACCTGGGCTGTTCGCAGCTTCAACTCTTCATGCCGCAGGATGTGCTCAATATTTTTGCTGGGATAGAAGGATTTTGCTGTGAAATGACAAGCAAACATGGGCATACCAGCATGATTGGGATACATCCAATCGAAATGAGAATGCATCCAGTAAACGGTGTCAATTTAAGCCATGGTCGAACAAATTAAAGGACCGGATAACCCCACATGTTACCAACTTCTTTAGATTTAGACTGACCGGGAAGAGGAAGTATAAGAGTGATGGAGCGGTGATGGTGGGTGAGTTTGTGTGTATGTATGTATGTTCATGTACAGTGAGTGAGTGAGAGTGTGAGTGAGTGATGTGAGTGTGGTGTGTGTGTGTGTGAGTGAGGGATGTGAGAGTGAGTGAAGTGAAGTGAAGTGAAGTGAAGTGAAGTGAAGTGAAGTGAAGTGAAGTGAAGTGAAGTGAAGTGAAGTGAGTGAGTGGGTGAGTGAGTGAGTGAGTGAGTGAGTGAGTGAGTGTGGTTGTGTGAGAGCTATCTATCTATCCATCTATCCATCCATCCATCCATCCATCGATCTTTGTGTGTATGTGTGTGACTGAGAGTGTCAGTGAGTGAGTGAGTAAGTGACTGAGTGAGTGTGAGTGAGTGAGAGTGAGCGAGTAAGGGAGTGTGAGTGAGTGAGTGAGTGCCAAGGGACGCCAAAGCATACATCCGACCCCTTGGCAGTGCACATTGCCCCACACCTGCCACGCAAAATGCACATTGTCCCACGCCTGCCACGCAAAAGAGGCGGAGACCCAAGGGACGCCAGGGCGTAAATCCGACCCCTTGGCAGTGCACATTGTCCCACGCCTGCCACGCAAAAGAGGCGGAGACCCAAGGGACGCCAGGGCGTACATCCAACCCCTTGGCAGTGCACATTGTGCCACGCCTGCCACGCAAAAGAGGCGGAGCCCAAGGGACGCCAGGGCGTACATCCAACCCCTTGGCAGTGCACATTGTGCCACGCCTGCCACGCAAAAGAGGCGGAGACCCAAGGGACGCCAGGGCGTACATCCAACCCCTTGGCAATGCACATTGTGCCACGCCTGCCACGCAAAAGAGGCGGAGACCCAAGGGACGCCAGGGCGTACATCCGACCCCTTGGCAGTGCACATTGTCCCACGCCTGCCACGCAAAAGAGGCGGAGACCCAAGGGACGCCAGGGCGTACATCCGACCCTTTGGCAGTGCACACTGTGCCACGCCTGCCACGCAAACGAGGCGGAGACCCAAGGGACGCCAGGGCGTACATCCGACCCCTTGGCAGTGCACATTGTCCCACGCCTGCCACGCAAAAGAGGCGGAGCCCAAGGGACGCCAGGGCGTACATCCGACCCCTTGGCAATGCACATTGTCCCACGCCTGCCACGCAAAAGAGGCGGAGCCCAAGGGACGCCAGGGCGTACATCCGACCCCTTGGCAATGCACATTGTCCCACACCTGCCACGCAAAATGCACATTGTCCGACACCTGCCACGCAAAATGCACATTGTCCCACGCCTGCCACGCAAAAGAGGCGGAGCCCAAGGGACGCCAGGGCGTACATCCGACCCCTTGGCAGTGCACATTGTCCCACGCCTGCCACGCAAAAGAGGCGGAGCCCAAGGGACGCCAGGGCGTACATCCGACCCCTTGGCAGTGCACATTGTCCCACGCCTGCAAAGACGCTGAGTGAGTGAGTGAGTGAGTGAGTGAGTGAGTGAGTGAGTGAGTGAGTGAGATGTAAGTGAGGAGTGAAGGAGTGTGTGAGTGTGTGAGTGAGTGAGTGAGTGAGTGAGTGAGTGAGTGAGTGAGTGTGTGAGTGAGTGAGTGAGTGAGTGAGTGAGTGAGTGAGTGAGTGAGTGAGTGAGTGAGTGAGTGAGTGAGTGAGTGAGTGAGTGAGTGAGTGAGTGAGTGAGAGTGAGTGAGTGAGTGAGTGAGAGTGAGTGAGTGAGTGAGTGAGTGAGTAAGTGAGGGAGTGAGTGAGTGAGTGAGTGAGTGAGTGTGTGTGTGTGAGTGAGTGAGTGAGTGAGTGAGTGAGAGTGAGTGAGTGAGTGAGTGAGAGTGAGTGAGTGTGAGTGTGAGTGTGAGTGTGTGAGTGAGGGAGGGAGGGAGGGAGGGAGGACGGGAAGGAGGAGGAGGAGGAGGAGGACGAGGAGCGGATACAGAACTAAAAACAAAAACCCCACACGTCAATGTGGGGAACAATCCCTGGTTGATGGTTTGAACCATTCCGAAAGTGGCTTTGAACATCCAAAACACTGGCCAACCGATTTTAAATCCTGAACAGCATTGGAAAATGGAACATCTTCAAAACCATTCTTATCCGATGTCCCCGGCACGAACACTACGTGTGTCAGGATGATACTCTGAAAGTGGCTGCAATGTTCGATGCATGTTCATCCTCAACAGTGGTCTCTAAAAAAAAATCGATCTGGGTTTGTCCGGACATGAGGCACCACGAAAATCCCATGGTTCATCCGTGTTCCCATTCGAATTGCCAGGGGATATTCCATTCGAGTAAGCCACCAAGAACACTTCTGAAAGTCACAAGGATCTCATGGATTCATCTACCAGAAAAATCCTGGCTGCTTGGGGACCCAAAAATAGACCATTTTAAAGCCAATACCATCACCAACCACTTTACAAGCTTACAAAAACACCCTGAAGAAAACCTGAGTTTTTACTGATTCTTTGTTCAACCTTGAGATTTCCTCAAGAACCTACCCATCTGACGTTTCCTAATCTCAACTGCATGTTGCGGGCACAGGCTGCGAGAGGAAATCAGCAGCAGCCAAGCACAGCAGTGACGCGGTGGCCGCACCGTGTCCAACGCCATTCCTTGCGGGTCCGGGATTCGAAGGATTCGACCACTTCGACCGTTCTTTGCTTCACCCCATGGGTGGTATCTGATATTGAAACCTACAAAGTGGGGCCCCCTAGATAGCTAAGTTTGTTAATAACTCCAATAACTATGGTCTATGGTATAACTATAATTAATGGTGTTTATAAACCAACTTACAACTGGGGGGCACCACATTGTATATCGTAGATTATCATTCTGATATTGAAACCTATATCATGGATGATCTATTGTCCTAATAATCCAGTTATGATTCGGATATCAGAACCTGTATCAGATCTCGTCCTACCTTTACATGGCTGAACTGGGATGTCCATGTCCATGCACGTAAGCACGACATGGGATGCACGGTGAAATCAAGATTGGAAGGTCATCGAAAGGCAACTTTGGTCACCCGTTGATAGGGATTGATTTTTACCCTCTGGTAAACGTTTACAGTTTGCGAACTTGAACATGGCCATTTAGTTCGTTGATTTACCCATTAAAAATTGTGTTTTTTCCATGGTTATGTTCGTTTACCAGAGGGTATCCATGATAAGGAGTCACCAATGATAATGATACTGGAATGACCATAGCCATCCATATTTCTTTAAGGCAATCGCTTCCACCAGCTCCGGTCTGTGTCATGCGTGTACCCGAAATTGCCCTGTTATACAATGATGCAGAGCGCTGGGAAATGTTGAACAATTGTTGAAGAAACACACCCTCGCCCCTCAGTGGCATGCTGTTCTCCTGACAAAAAAACTAATTGCACCTTAACCACTTGGCAAACTTGGAACACTTTCTTCTGTGCTTAATGTCAACCTGAGATCAAGAAAAAAAACAGTTGATTGATTTGGGCCCGAAGAGTGATGAGACCCTGGTGCTACAATGGTACACCGATACACCAAACGATCAACAGCCCAGGAGTGCATAAAACATTGGGGTTGATATTAACCAGCCGGGATGTTTTATGTCCTCATGATGTTTTTTGCGCATAATATGCAGCATCTCCTTTTTCAGGTTCCCCTCTATTCACAGTTCTCTTTAGAACTTGGATTTGCCCCCTGAGTCTCAGGAACCAGGACACACTTTTTTCACATCTCTCGCCTAAGAGTTGAGACTTAAACGCTTGCATAGGAACATACAAGAACTATAGAAAAAACAAAGTCCTACACACCTTTCCATCTCTGGGGATATGACTATACCAACATAAATATGAAGCCAGCAAAGATTGGTATCTTTCTATCCCCAAAGTGTGGTTGCTTTGAAAACCCACATCACTTAAAAAACGACAAGCAGCACATTGAGTTGTCGCAGCTGCAACTGTGCTTCGTAAGTACCATCGCCCTGGGATTTCAGTGCTGCAAGCTCCTTCAAAGTCCTCCCAAGCTGTCGTGGGCTTAGTCCCGGAGGATTTGTTACTGTTATGAGGGTGTATCCAGAAAATGAGGATATGATATTTCTGATAGACCAAAACTGATAGCAAGTTCAGTTAGGAACATTATATTCATTGGATACCCTATCTTCGGAGATATCCAAATCGCCATGAAATTGACTGAGGGTTCAATAGCTCTAAGCTCAAAGCCATGTCAAGACTTCAAGGCCTTTTTCACAACAGCTGGTACAGTAGCCTGTGCAATGCCACTTTAAAAAAAAGGCTCGTATCATTTATCGGTCGGGGATGCCTGATGTAAGAATTATCTACTACAGTAGACAGAAGACATCAGAACACATGAAATCAGTGCCGCTTGAAATCCTCAAATGATTATAGTACATTCAAACTAGGTATCAGTGGTTATGTGTCCCATTCTAGTCCAATCCAGCTACATCCAATTAATTTCATTAAGCAGCCATAAAAAAAAAAAAACATTCATTTTCCCCACTTCTATTGCTCTGTTGGGAGATGAATCTGTAAATATACCAGCACCATGGAGCATCTGGGGATCCATTAAAACTTCTATCATCTGTGTTCATCTATTATCTGGTCTACTGATTCCAGATGATGAAAACATTGAATACGGTCTGCTGATATGGATCATGAAAACCTATTAATAGACTATATTGATCCCATCACGGGATAAAAACATAATAATCCATGAAATGGATAATGATAGATCTAGAACCACTATTTTCATAGACCTATGAATACACCTATGTGGATAATCATAATTCATTCAATTAAAAGACCTCTGTGCCCCCATTCCGCTGGTGCCTGATCTCTTCCACCGGCAGGGCATGCTGCGCATGTTGGGACAAAGTCTTCATGCCGCCCTGCCAGGTACGCCTGGCTTTTTGCGCTGGTTGATGGGTTGAGCACTTTCGGCTAGTGATATGTCAACCTGCAAAAAGTGTGTTTTATTTCATTTCGTGGGATTTAATGGGATTTCACAGAGATGTCATAGGATTTCATGGGATTTAATTCTGATTTCATGGAATCGAATTGGAGATTTGATTAACACTATCAAACAATTTCAACCCACCCGTTGTTGGAAGGTAAGGAATAATGAAGCAATTTTCATGCATTGTTTTTTAAACATCGATGAGATGTTACACCCGCACCAATGGCGATACAACCAACCATGATGCGTGTAAGTTAATGTGACAAGAACTTTTTCCCATCAACCATGGGAGTTTGACGTTTCCTTCAACACCAATCCAAACATTGGAGGGTGGGACGGTGCCAACTGCTAGTGACTCTCTGTAAACTCCCATCCACAATTGCACTGCATAAATCTGTAGTCGAAAAAAGGCAGGACAAAAACTATCCCGATGGGAGCCTGAAACTACTTCATAATTCATAAATCTATTAACCCATAATTAGTCACTGTTTGGCAAAGTTCAAAGGTAAGAAACAGTGGTTTGACCAACAGAATCTGGGTGCCACTGCACTTCTAGGCATTTGATCCGTCAGGGGTTTCATCCAAACCTGAGGATCTCACCATTGATGAATCATCATAATTAATCAACAGTTATTAACCATCCTTTACTGGTTGGTGGTTGAGCCACCCCTCTGAAAAATAATTCCCAGAACTCCCAGAACACCCAGCATTTGATATGGAGATCGTCCAGGTAGCTCGAAGAAAGGCGGACATAGCAACTGCAACTTCCAATGGAGACGCTGCAGAGGCGTGGCCTGGGGACGGTGGTGACCTCTGTGATGACCGCTATGATGGTGGATCATACTATTGTGATATCCCACTATAGTCACTAAAGATTATATTAACTATTTTACCATAGATCATTGTGATATACCATAGATCATATTAACTGGTTGGTGGTTGACCTACCCCTTTGGAAACATATAGCAATCCATTTTTTCTATACCCCAAACAAATAGAAACAATTTCCCAGGATATGATCTATTGTATAGTTTTATATAGATGACTGGTTGGTGGTATACCTACCCCTCTGAAAAATATTATTGGGATGATGAAATTCCAAATATATGGAAAAATAAATGTTCCAAACCACCAACCAGATGATATGTAGTTCATACGTTTTCAGGTTTCGAAGTTTTTATGTAAATCTCTTTTGGGCTTGAGATTTCATGCTAGGTTCATCCTGGCCATCTTGACACCCTGCAATTGTTTTTGTTGTTTTAGCTGGCTAGCATATATCCTGATTTATGGTACACTCCATTAAATTTTCTCCAGGGTGGGGCCCCCATTTCGTGGCAAGTTGCTATGGTAACCATCAATTGCTCTCCTTCCGCAATCAAGTTCTCCGAGACGTATGGATCGTCGCCCTCGTTTCCTGGGAAGATCTCACCCGGGTGGAGGGTTCATTTCTCCGAAGCTTTGAAGTTGCAGCAACCCAACAACCAAACTCAGGTTGATTGGGTAGGTTGGATGTGCACCCTAGTTGCTGATTAATAACATTTAATAACCATAATATGACTCAGTTATAGGATATACCCCAATTATACATAGGCTATAGCCCGCTTACTAGATCTGATGCACCACCAAGTGGGTCAGGTTGGTCGTCTGAAGCCAAGGGACGTGGCGCTCGAAACAACTCAAAGGCCAACATGGCAAACTCGCGCAAGCGTTTGTCTTCCTGGGAACAATGATGATTTGGGAGATATGATCTGTTTCACCGAAGAAAAACGATTGTATATAATTACTACCATCACTTACCAAAGATACATACCATCACTATATCTATATATAGAATTAGGTAGATATATACCATCACTTGCAGATAATTGCAACAACTTACCTCTTGCTTAAGTTGATTACATCCCGAAAAAGAGATGATCCCAACCATCGCCAGGTCATCGCGACAAGCTTCAGGCATTCTGGGAGCTTGCTTCACCCAAGCCTGCAGCCCGACGGAAGACACACATTTTTAACGAACGGGGTGTGAAATCAAAACCCGAACCTGGGATTGAACTCGTGAATTCTATTCGTACAGTTATGGCCATAAAAAACCAGTTATAAGTGGTTATTTCTATGGGATTATACATTCTATAAATGGGGTTTTGTTAGTACTTATAACTGATAAATGGCCATAACTGTAGGTATTCAGCAAAGAATGACTTTTCCTAGAAACGGATCCAGCACCAACAAATTGAACAAACAAACGCTGGATGATGGGTTGAATAAGGAAGCAGCTAGGCCGGGTAGAGACGGAACAGACATGGAGATTCAGCCCCCTCAAACAAAACCTGATTGCAGATTGCCAGGTAACTTGAGTTCTTCCTACTTTCCGTGAAAAAGACCAACATGATAATTCCAAACCTATTCGGAGAAGTGCCTTTGGGAATCAATTTGATGAAGTATCCCATTATATTATCCATGGAATATATATATATATAATATTAATATATACCATTAAATTACCAATATGTTCCATTTTCCATTGTTGCCCAAGTTCATCCAATCCCAACCATGGTGAAATCTGTGCTTGGTCGGCTATGGACCGTGGGCTCTTAGCGATCGACCCAAAAAAAATCGTAGCTCCATTGGCAATGCCGTTGTTAACACCTGAATTCGGGGGCAAGAGCATATCATATTAACCGAACTTGTTAACAAGAGTATTGGCTAACAACAACCCTTCCAGTTAAACTAAACCCTTCCAGTATTTCAATATTTTCAGTATTAGTTAACTAAAATATTGAAATGACATTTTCCAGTTCCCTCTGGTAAACTAACAATCTAACATAACTATGGAAAATCACCATGTTCAATTTTTCATGGAAAAATTCACTATAAATGTTGATTTTCCATAGTTATGTCAAATTACCACAGGGTAAACTGATTGCAGATTCCAAGATTTGTAGATCCCCAGTTCCTGGAAACATCCCCTTCGCCTCGTGGAAACATGGGAAAACTAAACATGGTTTCCAACCATTTATAATGATACTCATGAAAACATGTAAGACTGTATAACGTGTTTTTTCCAAATTCAATTCCCCATTTACGTTGATCAATTTGAATTTTAAATGGTCAAATCATGCTATATAATCCCGTGAAAAGATAGAAACATGTTTTCAGTATGGAATAGAAGTTCTCTTCCCCACATTTTCCAGGGTTCCAACTTTTCTATCGTTTTTTGGATGTGATCTAACCTATAAACCTCCGTTTTCACAGGTGAAACGTCCACATTGCCGTCGCAAAGATTCCCTGGCAGCCTTGATAAAAAGCTCGTCTCCTCGCTTGGCAGTGCCTCGAAGCTGAAAACCTGTCAGCCGGAGATGTGCTGCCCAGAAATCTGCAAACAAATGCAACGTTCTGAGAAGGGAACACGCCTATTTGCCGATTTACATAAATATACATATGATAGAGATATATATATATATAGAGAGAGAGATAGAGATAGAGATAGAGATAGACATAGATATAGACATATAATCTATGTATATATATATAATATGTATGTATGTATAATATATATATATATATGTATTGTTATATCTGTAATTGGCTGAAAGTCCCACTTAGTGAAGTAAATATGATATATATATATAATTGGTTAAGCATTGGCTAAGTAGGACTAGTACACTAGGTTTAGTATGTTTAGTGGTATTGAATCGTTGCAATGATATACTGGTGAGCAAATGAACTATTGCGCTGCCCTACTTGGGGACCACGAGCCAACGCTCAAGCAGGTTGGTGCATCCCCCAAGTTGTTTTACTGAGTTTGAATGATTAAACCCTTGATACCGGTAGATGTAGGGGGTAGCTTCTGGTAAACTGTCACATAACTATCACCATTTTCAATGGGTCATTTTCAATAGCAAACTGTTAGTTTACCAGAGGGTAGCCTCCCGAATATGTAAATATTCCCGAAAACCGTAGGTATGCATGTATGTATGCATATATTATATATTACAATCGTTATCACTCGATTATGATGACAAATGATAACAATAGGTACCAGTAATAGTAATTATATATAATTATATATATAGACAAAAAAACATAAACAATTTAAATAACACAAAAAACGTAACATGATAAACAAGAGAAAAGATACTGGAAAACAACAAAAAAACATGTGATTTTCACTAAACATAGACTATCGAACTATACCAGAGATGGACTTCCTTAAGTCCTGCTTTACCATTCGCCAAGCATCTCAGCTCCGCAGTGACGAAGCCAATGGTGCCGGAGCTCCACAAGGCGAAACCCGTTAAACCTGGGCGTGACTTTTTGATCTGATCGCTAGGTGGTTGGTTGGTGTTTCCTTTTGAGGCTACCTATGAGCTATCTAGCTCTATCTATCCTATCTATTCACCACTCTATGAGGATTTTGGATGAACAAATCATAACAAATCATTATATATTGATATTTAATGAATGGCTTTTATTTTGAGCACATTTTGATGGATATTTTGACTTGTGTCGGATGTTGGAGTTGGGCGTCTTGCTGGATTTCTGTTCGATGCTGGAGAAAATTTGGATGTTTAATAAAGCATAAATAGTTCATGATAACCCAAAATACATAGGGGAACTCACAGTCTGACAAGCAACATGGGGATGTGAGCAGTACATCATGGGAATAAAACCGGGGATTTCAATGGCCAAGAATGGGTGTGTCAGCGTCTAACACTGTTCAGCAATCAGGCCAACAGCAAAATGCATTATCAGTGTAAACCAATGGTATCCCTGTGTTCCTGCATCCCCATTTTTTGCCCTTCTTGCTAGTACTTTTCGTTGATTAGATACGTGATAACGTTCCCGGTGAAGCCACTTGTAACTGTTATGGTTTAGCTATGCACCTCCAGAACAGGCTATTGGAATCTTTCGGACATCACACAGCTGCGGAGCTGCGGAACAGCATGCAATATGGATTTGAGTTCCTTTTTTCCTTCCTCGTTGGCGGTGGTTAACATACAGAATGCTCCATGTATGGTATATTTACCTACATTTGGGTGATTTATGGGGTAAATGTTGGTAAATATTCCATACATGGATCCTATGGGATACAGAATGCTGGCTCAAAAAAAGGTTCTCCAAATCGATCACCAAGAAACCATCCAGAAGCAGGGCGACAGCTCCTACCTCAGTGATACCCATGGAATAGGTTTCACACCCGGGATGTCCAAACAGCCTGGTACCTGCTGGTAAACATCATAGGCAAACAGGGACTTACTTGGTTTCAGGTTTCGACCCATCCAAAACATAACTGGTTGGTGGTATACTTACCCCTCTGAAAAATGATGGAGTGAGTAACAGTGATGATGAAATTCCCAACTGTTTCTGGAAAGTCTAATCAAATTCCATGGTTCCAGTCACCACCAAGCAGCCATTTGTTATAGTGGATTTACCCATTCAAAACGGTCGGTTTTCCCTGTGTTCAACATCCCCAACCAGATAAGAACTCACCATCCCTAGGGACCGAACATCCAACGCCCCCTGATCGTCCAGTAGTGGCGCAAAGGCCTTGATTGAGCCTGCGAGGGAATCAGATGTCCGTAGAAGGTGGTGTCCTATAGTTGGGATATATAGCCATATAGCTGTATAATATAATGCAATATAATATAATAAAATATAATAAAACATAACAACACATAATATAATATAATATAATATATAATAACATATAATATAATAAAATATAATTCAATATAATACAATATAATAAAATAAAATATAAAACATAACAACACATAATATAATATAATATAATATAGTATAATATAATATAATATAATTCAATATAATACAATATAATAAAATAAAATATAATAAAACATAACAACACACAATATAATATAATATATTATAATACAATTCAATATAATACAATATAATATAATATAATATAATATAATTCAATATAATACAATATAATAAAATAAAATATAATAAAACATAATATAATATAATATAATACAATATAATTCAATATAATACAATATAATATATTATAGTAGAAGATAATATAATAAAACATAACAAAACATAATATAATATAATATAATATTGTAGAATATAATATATTATAATAGAATATAATATAATATATTATAATATAATATAATTTAATTTAATAAAATATAATATAATATAATATAATATAATATATAATAATAATAAGAATAACAATAATAAAACTCATAATAGTAATAGTAATAATATATATATATATATATACAGCTAGTACTAGTATTATATAGGAAAACATGATGGGAATACAAAAATTCACCAGAATTCAAACGATTTAGTGGTGCCCCATAGTTAGCCAAGGTGGTTTATAGCTAGGCCACCGAGGGACTAGGGTGTATGGTGATGAAATCTTTTTGGGGCACTGCCTTGTGCTGAAAACATCCCAGAGTGGTTCAGAATCAGATTGCGCACTATATGATGTAGTTCGTTACACCATCCGGTTTGGCGACGTGATAAAGAGTAAAACGCAAAGCAGCCCCAAATTCCCAATACCACTTCCTCAAGCTATCATTAGATTTGGAAAGTCAAAATAATACATTAAAGTACTAAGCCCAGACATTTGGGACCCTCAACCCTCTGAAACGGACTGTAGTCATTCTACCAAGGAGATTCATCATACCAAGCGTGGATGGTAACTCACACATGAGTAGAACACCAACCAAGAAAAAAGGGAGCTTGTATCTGATACGTATAGTATATGTGTGTATATATATATATTATATATATATATATGATATATATATATATTTTTTATATAATCAAATAAATCATGTTGCTATTTTCCAACAATCAATTCCTTCATCCCAACAGCCATGTCGCTCCGAAAGCAGCGCAGCGCGCGCCTCGCACTTCTCCCTCTGGCGAAACGCTGTGACAGTGAAAAGTCTTCAGCAATCCATCGAAACCAAATCTGAGCGATCCGGAAACAGCAAGTCATCTGGTGTGGTGATCTGATTTACCCTCCGGCAATTTAACATAGCTATTGAAAATGGCCATTTATAGTGGATTTTCCCATTAAAAATTGTGATTTTCCATAGCTATGTTAGTTTACCAGAGGGTAATATGGGCATCCAAGAAAAAAATTGGCGAGTCATCGGGGTCAAAGGATAAGCCACTTAAGATGTATTAACCAAGGGCTATTGACTGCTACATACTATATCATACCATTACTAAATGAGATGATCCTTTAGAGTCACTGAGAGGGTCCCCTAAAAGGCGAACCAAACCTGGGATTCTCACAATGTTCATAAACATTTGGATGGAAATTCATTTATATAATAATGTTTGTCACATCCATCCAAATGAAATTTAATGGAAACCTCTAGGATCTGGGATAGCCACCCAAGGCTTTCTTGCCAAACTCCAAGCGGCGTGCTGTTCAGGAAGACCCGCAACCGTCTGGGGGCATGTCGCGCGCGCCAGTGCGCCCACACTTTTGCCTCGGGATTGGATCCCTAGGGGTCCAAAATCAGGTGCAACTGGTACACATTGTGATATACCTCGCTGGTCCTTGGTTACTGACAGTTACTGATGTCTAAATATTTGAATTACTAGCTTTAGAGATCATCCCACACCCTCAATGATTCAACATGAATGCGCCAAATCGATTGATAAAGTCTCTCAAAATGCCTTGTTTCTGCAACGTGTGGCATTTGTCCGTGCAACCAGCATGGCATTTTTTGGAACGCCTTAGATACCTCGCCAAAAAAAAGAACCACTTTTTAAGAACGTGACGTTTCATGATACTTCCATAAAAACACCTGGCCTACCCAGCTTACGAAGGACCACCAAGGCGTCCTTTCGACCGACCAAGACACCAAATCTCCGAAGCAAAGCCAAAGAATCAGCAACAAATCCTCAGCAGTGTACCCCACAAAGGTCTAAGATACATCACTCGCCCACTCAAACCAAAGTTTGCACAAGCGATGGGAAAGAAATGACATGCACCGGGGTAAAATTGGAAGATCCCAGCAATCTATAATATTGTGATATATGATGATATACAATGCCAATGTGTACTCTCTGATTTTTTCTGGGCATATTGCAGACCAACCATAAATTTCAATGTGTTGTCTTTTACAAACACGTTCTTCTATGATCTCAAACCCCCGAAGTATTCCTTATATTCCTTAACATCTTTTTAACCCCATCATTTAATTATATTACATTTACATGTTGAGGGGTGTTTGGAGGGTCTATGATGGCGGAAAAAAAAGCGAATTTGTCCCGTCACAGGCAATCGTTGTGACCTGCACCAATAGTCCAAGCTGCCGCGAACAAGAAGAGAAACCACCCCAACCAGGTCATGGGCACGGCGCGGGCGCGGAGGTTGAAGATTCTGCGAATATGAAACATGCCAATGCTAGGCTGCGTCAGCATGAAATGTGTGGAAACATAAGGATAATAAGGTCTATAGATGACTATAGTGACTACACAAAATAGGTGTTCCCATGTTTTCGCCATCAATATGGATGATGGCATGGGGTCAAGACTTACATGTCGAATCTGTGCTCCAAATCGGCGCACTGGGATCATCTGAGCAGCAAGCAGATGCTGTTGGTAGGGCCTATCCTTTTGAATGTTCATCTGTCATGACTATGAATGGCGCAAATTGGAGACGTTTCATTTCACCCGACAAAAACCGAAAACATTTCACTTGGAGACCTGAAACAACTCAGTGTCATCGTTTGTTTTTCCATTCTGGTCTGGAACAACTATCAGACCAAGTAAAGTTTTCACTAAATTCAATCGTTTTTTATAGGTCAACACATCTAAACAAACAGAAACCAACAGTTGCAGGCACAAGCTGTGCCCTTGGTCCCCTGACCCAAGAGATGCTGGAGAGGTTTCGACCGCCAAACTCCTGGCTCCGGAGATGCTACTGTGGATTCAACGAAGAATAGCATGCTATGGAAGCCATGGCCCACAGAAATAGATGACAAACATGACCCATAGGATCCATGGTGCTGGTATATATATATATGCTAACATTTGGGGTATATTGATGGTAAATGTTACCATATATAGCAGCACCATGGATCCTATGGGTGATGATTTTCCTCTTGCACATGGTGATTTTCATGGATTTTCCATAGCTATGTCAGCTATGTTACATTACCAGACCGTAAATTCACCTGCCTGAAAAAGACAATTTTGGGATAGTCAACTCTACTCACCATCATTCCGGGGACGTCGCGCCAAGGCCATTACAAAAAGTCGCAGAATATGTCCAGGACGGGAAGACATACAATCTGTTCCCATCATTTCAAACTTTTGATTTTATTTTTTGGGTTGCTATAAGGCCTGCCAATCATAAACTACAGGATGTTCAAAGGCAAATACTCCACAAAGTGGTTAGTTTTCACTTGCCGTATCTTAGATTGTTGGAGGGTTTCTTTTGAAACCAGAAACCAATAGATGGATTTAGACCCCACGAATTTGTTTGAAACAAAGGTAAACAGCAAACATGAAACATGGTTTCCAACCTGAAAGTTTCGGAAAGTTTTGCCACAACTTGCGGATTTTCACCTGAGGAATCCCCTTTAAAAAAATGGGGGGCTTTGTCCGCCAGGCCCTGCCAGGCCCGGCCTTGAGTTTCAAAGTGCTTTCCTTCGCGATCGCCTGGCGCTCATCCCAGGGAGGGGCAAGTGGGGGGCTGCAGTTCATATCCATTGATCTCCCAATTGATGGGCTTGAAATCACCACAGCTATCCCAAATTATGAAGTTTATAACATCTTTTTTTACATAGCGTGGCATTTCGC